CAATAATGTATTAAATTATAGTCGTATTAATTTAGTTTTATTGCTTTTAAAAATAGTCACGAAATGGTCATTTATATACTTGTTGCAAAATAATACGAAGTACTTCCTATGGCCCTCCCTTATAAATGGCCGACTATAAGGGCTATAACATTAACTAAGCTAGTTGATATTTACTTGCCTATCAATTAAATACGTAGACCGTTATAGTGTACTGTTTTAGCATAAAAGGGATGAAAAGCTAGCAGTGGAATTGATAATTAGTAATTACCTTCTTAGCTTGCTCAATTAGGAATTGAAGGAGACCAAGACAATCAATTAGGGAACTTTGGCAATTTGTACTATTCATTTCACTCGTCTTTAACTATTGCTATGTGCATGGGAAAAAATTGCATGCGCTTATAATCAAGATTACAAGGAATTTTTAGTCAATTAGGATTATTTATGTTGACTATTTTGACTTTTGACAATTAGTGATAAGACATATCACTTTTTCAAAGAAATGTTTGAAATTGTGGTTCTACTTACTTGATTATGATTTCTATTCTTATTTTCCACAAGTAATTAAAACTTGTAAGTTGGTCCACAAAGAATGAGGCTAATAAATTTTCATCCATTTAAGAAATAGACTAAAGTTTAAAGTCAAGTTGTGACAACTACAACCGACTAATGATGTCCTTTTGTGCCTTTTTTATTCCTACGGCAAGAGCGGTTACTAATGTTATAAACTTGTAATGTTTTTTGTTTTTATTTTTGTGTACTAAGCGAAAGATCATATTATCTTGATAATATCATATAATATTACAGGGTATATTTTACATACCCGAGTAGTAATATTAAAAATAAGAAAATAAATAAACTAGCCAGTGATATAATAATAATAATAATAATAATAATAATAATAATTTAATAATAATAAATAAATAAATAAAAAACATAAAAAACATAAAAAAATTACAATACTAAGGTCATGCCAACTGTAATATTGAGAGGCAAAGAGGGATGTAAGGAATTGAAGGAACTTTAATAAAATGGGTCTATCCTAACCAATTTTGTTTCCTTCATTCCTTGAATTTGGCTTATTTAAGGGCCCAAGGTTTAAATGCACCACTTTTGCTCCACTCCCTCCATTCATATATAACACATTTACGTATGGTGAATTGGATTTCTTAGTATTGAGTTTTCACTCTTTAGTAAGGAGTAGTTTGTATTGTTTAAAAATACCTATTGATGAAAATTGAGGACTAAAACTTTAATATTTATCTTATTTTTCCTTCCTCTTCAATTATTAATTTAAAACTAAAACGAAAATTATTGAAAGTTAAAGGAGAAAACGTACATGTGCATCTTGATTTTTGTAAGAACATATTCGTTGAATTACTTCACTTATTTGAAGAGGAAATTAAAATGGCAATCAAGTAGAAGAAAATGGAGTACTTGTACATCGAAAGACATGGAACAATTAAAAAAAAAAAAAAGATCAAAATATTAGGATTAAAATTTCTGATTTTTATGGAAAATATGAGGTGATATATAAAAAAAATACACGTGACATCATGACATGCAAACTTTCTATATAATTTGTAGATAGTAGTTTTTAGTGAATAGATTCTATGAATTGTGTTGGAATTGCCTTTCATATTTTTAATAATCTTAAAAAAAAAAAAAAAAAACAATGTGTAAAAACTACTTGTGTAGCATGCAATAGCATACACGGGAACATCGGGAGAAATATATGGAGCAAAGGCAACAATAGACGTGTGGGATCCATCAATTGAAGAATTGAACGAATTTAGCCTTTCTCAAATTTGGGTTTTATCTGGCAATTTTGACGGCTCTGATCTTAACAGTATCGAAGCTGGTTGGCAGGTACTCTCACTCTCTTTTTTTTTTTTGTTTTTTTTTACCTCCATTATCAATTTCTTTTATTATTACTTCATACAATTTGTATATGTTTGACTATATACCTTCATAGGAACTTGTTAATACATTGTGATTTCCCATATACCTCTAGGCCATTGTATTTACTCCCTATATTATATTGGCTCAACCTCATATAGTTAAAAGATGATACTCAACTCATATTTTATTTAGGATTTAACATCGTCTTTTTCACTTGATTTATTTGACCTGAAACTATCTATTGTTATTTTAAATTTAGTTTTTGCTCGGTTAAAAAGAGTTTGCTGAGTCTAGTGCTTTTTCAAAACATGATTACTACTCCGTTATTTTTATTAGATCAATAGATTGATCTCTTGAGCCATAACATGCAATCGTCTCATATTAGAATTTGCATTATTACTTATTGCGGAATATACACATTTCTTGAGTTATTCTATTTCTAGCATATGAATCATGCATGAATACAATAGTTATTTTAATTTGTTGATGGAAGCCCTAAGGATATGATTGTTGTACTAGTCAGGTCAGTCCGGAGCTTTATGGTGATAGCAGGCCAAGATTATTCACTTACTGGACGGTCAGATTTCTTCCCTTCATTTTTTGCCCTTTCTTCCCTATTTTTTTTTTTTTTTTTGTTTTTTGAGGAATTCTTCCCCATTTAATTTTTTATTTAGCTAATTGAAATTATATTAGAAAATTGCTTTTCCTTAAAATAAAAGAAAAAGAAAAAAAAATTGAAAATTGCTTGGTGTGTTATTGCTTATTACTAACTGCTGGCAAATAAAAGTCAGCACATTAATAAATTTAGGAAATACAAGTAGAAAAATTAAAAGAATACAAGCATATCAACAATGAGATAAAAATTTCTTTGAAGTCAGAAGATAATCACATGGGTAATTAAGTGTCTTTGAGGTCAAAATTATTAATAAATTCACCTACTTTTGTTCACTATTTGTAATGTATAAAAGTCAAATTCTGTTTCAATTAATGTCAACGATAATTACTCTGATTTTAGCATCTCTTTAATTACAAATTTGGTAAGGCCGATTTTACCAAATAAATACTCACTCTAATGATGATATTGACAAACAATTTCAAAAAGCATTAAAACGAGTTTCAAAACTTACTAATCACCCGAAGGATAGATGATTATTTTTTCTAATGAGCAAAGCTATGATGACATACATGCTTGAACGTACGTATGTACTAGTGTGTATGTATTACATTATTTAGTTATTTACATACTTCGTACTTTATAACTCCAATTGCTTATGAGTGTATATTAGAATTTGCTCGATTATGTTATCCAAATTGAGAGAAACATTACAAAGTACATTCATGATTTTAATTTATTTATAGAAAATGAGATTGGGATGGATCCAATGGCAATATTATATGCATTAAATAAGATAATAAACATTAATTAGTTAGTACACTTGTGTACTAATTATAAGTAATGGTACGAAAGTGACACAACCATGTGCCTTAATATCAGAATAATGATCAACTGAGCAACTGACCAAATTTGATTACACCAATTCCCAAAAATATTTGGACCACCTATTCATTACTTATGATGATGAAATTTGCACCCCTTTGTTAGTGGATCTTATTAAATGGCCGTTAATTCTTTTTGTTTTCATTTCTTATTTTTTCCTATTTTGCATGGTAGACTTAGAGTGACTTGCAATTAACATTTTTGATAAAAGATAAGTTGATTGGAATTCACTCCTAGGATCTACAAAGGTGACCTAGAGGCTAGAGGTGAACTTTAAGTTATAAAACCCGTGTTTTCTATAAGTTCTACAATATGTAGGTTTAGATAGATAAATATCAAGTGAATCAAACGCATCTTAAATAAGGTTGTATGTACTTATCCCACTAAGATGCGTAGCAAATTTCTGTTAATTAGATTGGATTAGTGGTGATCACAACATAGAGTGGAAGTAAAATTGACAACTCACAACAAGTGACTTGTACATAACTCGCTTACATACAGAGAGTTGTTAGTTATTAGTATATATTAGGTTTTTTAAAAAATAAAATAAAAAATTGTACTATTTTGAAATATGAATTGTACTACATTGGTTTTCAAATTCTAATTATTAGTAATAATATACTAGTAATTGATAAACTAAGTGATAATAGATGGTAATAAAATCGAGTAAAGGAATGATTAAATTATGTTGTTTGACATGATGCAGAGTGACTCGTATCAAGCAACTGGTTGCTACAACCTTCTATGTGCTGGGTTTATTCAAATTAATAGCCAAATTGCTATAGGAGCTGCTATTTCTCCGGTTTCTTCGTTTCAAGGCAGCCAATTTGACATCACCATCCTCATTTGGAAGGTTTGTATCTCCTCATTTTGAACTGTATACATGTAGGTAGCATATCATTGGTTAATTTAAATTATACGAAATATATATTAAAATATTGCCGTTATTATATGGAATCTATGGAATGACTTTTAGGATTAGAATTTTAGGGATATGAGATGACTTAAGTTATACTACTATAAGTTAAACACGTCTTTTAAGGTGTCCACTATACACTCGGGTGTATCATGTGCACGATACATTCACACACATTTTTAGCTTAAAGGCTTTGGTGTATGGAATGTCCACAACATTCAACTTACCTAAGAATCGACCTTTATTTTATGATATTTTTGTTTGAAAATTGAAGGATCCAAAACTTGGAAATTGGTGGATGAGCTTTGGGGATGACACCCTAGTAGGGTACTGGCCAGCAGAGTTGTTCACCCACCTAACAGATCATGCAACCATGGTAGAGTGGGGTGGTGAGGTGGTCAACACACAGGCTAACGGGCTTCACACCGCGACTCAAATGGGTTCGGGCCATTTTGCCGAAGATGGGTTTGGCCAAGCCAGTTATTTCAGGAATCTAGAAGTTGTGGACTCAGACAACAGCCTTAGTGCACCCCAAGATATCCAAATACTTGCTGAGAATATCAATTGTTATGATATTCAGAGTTCATACAACAATGATTGGGGCCAACATTTCTACTATGGTGGGCCTGGGAGAAGCCCAAAATGTCCATGATTCTTAGCCCAAATCTACCTAGAATATAATTAATCTTTTTTTTTTTTTTCTTTTCTAGTATTAATTCTTTTCTTTTACTTGTTTTAAGCTAAGGTAAATATATCACAAATTCACAATGCTTTCTGATTTTGTTCTCTGCAGTTATCTTCTAGTATAATTTTTCTTTGGTCAATCTAAAAAGGTGACAAAGAAATGTAATTGTGAAATAATCAAGGAAGAAAGCATTATTCTTAATAGAAGTGGCAATTTCTTTGTATGCGTCTCAAATTTCTCTAACTAGTAAGACTCCAGAGTTAGCTTCACGTCTTTTCAAGATATTAATCGTCGTCAAATCGGCCAACTTGTTTTTGATAATCTTGTCCATATCATGCATGAGTTTTAAAGCATCGTTTTGCAAGCATCCAAGCATTTGATGGATGACATCTACGTCCGTAAGAGCGTCCTTGTTGTTGCTTTTTATGCAGCTAATGCATACAACCGGAGCGAATGTTGCACCGCACATTTTGTTAACTATAGTAACGTTGTCTGCGGCATGTGTCAAAACGTCTATTAGGCAAAGGAGAGAAGTTACTTGTGTGCAAATTTTGTTGTAAAAACTCACTGTATTATTATGTTCTTCAATTGGAAGCCTAATTCAATTTTAAATAAATAGATGAATTCATGTAATTTATAGGTCAGATTTAGGTGGTATTTACTAGACAGAAGAATATGGGTGAGCAAGCACAAATCACCCATACTGTTAACCAAACTTTCCAAAACACCCATACTGTTAACCAAACTTTCCAAAACACCCATACTGTTAACCAAAAATAATCCCACCTTTATACCCCATATTCTCAAAATGAGCCTTTTACCTATTAGTGTTATTGGTAACCTGTTTAGAAGGCATTTTGCCACGTGTTGTCTTCTAATTGGTTATTTTTATTTTTTATTTTTAAAAAATAAAGGAATAAACAAAAAAAAACAATAACCCATCTTCTTCCTTCCCTTGCTGGAGCCCCCTCCCTCGCTGGGTCAGTCGCCGCCGACCTTCCGGACCCAGCCGTCCTCTTTGCTTCCCTCCTACCCAATTCACCACCACCACATCCAGCCACCCTCACACCGGAAAAAATAAAATAAAAAAATAATTCAACCACCTCCAGGTTGCTGCCGATATTAAAAGGGTAAAAAATGAAGGACTCCACTTGTGTTTTAGGCAAACAATGTTAGCAAGACAGATTTAAGACACAAAAGAATACCTTTGGGCAAGAAAAGGTGGTCTTCTCAGCTAGAAGGCGGCGTCCTCCACTGGGAAGGAGAGAGATCTGAAAATGGGAGATATCATTACTGGTTGACTTCTTGGCTAATTATTCTGATATGCATGTACTTGCAATCTCATCTTGGAAAACAGCCAGAAGCAGCGATACAAACCCCAACAGCATCAACTCTGCAAGATAATGTTGTGAGAAAAAAGATGCAAAAAAGTTGGTATATAACCTTCTTTGATCTTCAATTCTGTAAGGCATCATAAAGGGGCTTCTTTTCCTATCTTTTCAACATCTGCAAGCGTTTTTATGGTTTTAGCTTCGAATAAGGTCTGAGGCCTATGGGAGGGGTAGAAAGAGACTTGCCTGACCGAGGAAACTAAGAAGTTTTTCGATGAACCAATTAAGAAACAGCAACCATCAGAAACACCACTGCTCCAATGATCCATGATGGTGTAGACTCAAACCATGGCCCTCCTTCTCCTCCTGCCTGGCTGCTTAGTTAGAAGGATGATATACCTGTGTGACAACAGCAAAGAGCGGTAAAGTGCTGTAACTGCAAATGGTTTGAACCAACAACCTAAAGCAAGGAAGTACAAAACGAGGTTAATTAGTCTATAGAAGTGCAAAGACTGATAAATTGAGATAAAGAAACAAGGTATGAAAGTAATGATACATTAGTATGATTCTTGGGAGCGCAAATATTGTTTTGCCCATTTCGCAAGAGTGTAAACCGAATTTAAACTGTTGCAGATCATGTGTCAAGATCAAGTTAAGAACTTGAGATAATGTTTTTAGTTTCGAAATAGCATGTTAGTTTCAAGGTGGTAAGATCTAACCCATATTGGGCATACTCCTAACATCATTTAAACTTAAAGTCAATTATATTCCTATTTCCACTTAATTTATACGGAGTACATTAATGATGATTATAAAATAGATCATGTTGTGTCAGGTTCATATTCGTCTTGGTATTAAACAATTTGAAAAATAGTTAATCTAAACAATTTGAAAGCCCTAGACCCTAAATCTAACTCACTTATTAAGAAGGTAAACTTTTAACATATTAAAATTATTGTTATGCATTTAGAGGTGATTTTACATGTGTATTTTTTTTAAAGGTAAGGATGAAGGGATCCTACTAAACTTGCACCTCTCAGGCTCTCACAGGTTTAGTCAGCCCAACTCCGCAGGTCAAGTGGTAAATGCTTGAGAGTAAAGAGGGGGGGGATAAGGAAATCCCTTTACTCCCAAGCAAATGGAGTTGGTGAAACTTGATCTCGTGACCTCAAATTCGTGAGTTCCCCACCAACTTCAACAAGCAAAACTTGGTTTGTTATAAGTATGGAACACATGATATATTAAGAATAGAATAAATACGTTCTTCCGTATAGAGCAATATATACTACTGTTAAGGAAAGACTTCTTGCTTAGGTCTTTCCTTATATTTCTATTCAATAAGATAACACACACATTAACCAAAAAAAATTCCTTTTCTCATTGTCCCACATTAAAAATTCCTCTCTCCTTGTCCCCTTTTTTCACCATTCTCCCCTATACCATTATAAATAAACCAAACACACCCAAAACAACCATAATAATAACAATCTCCCTTCTTCCTTTTTCATCTTCTCATAATTAAACTCTTTTTATTAAAAATAAAATAAAAATAAAAAATAAATAAAATAAAATGGGAACAACTTCTGAATCAAATATCAAGATCATAATCGAGAAAAATCCCTCCGAAGCTCGTTTATCTGAACTCGGCATTAAATCCTGGCCCAAGTATACATCTTTTAGTTACTTTATCAGTCTGGAATTTATAGTCACGTTGATAGTATAGTCTGAACTACTAAACGAAACCCTGATGGAGATAATAACTCTATGCTATGTTTATTTGTGATTATGTGCAGATGGGGTTGTCCACCAGGAAAAATAACATTGAAATATGATGCAACAGAAACATGTTATTTTGTGAGAGGAAAAGTAAAGGCATACCCTAAAAAAGGGTCAACAAATGATAATGAAGGAGTAGAATTTGGGGCAGGAGATATTGTGATTTTTCCCAAAGGTCTTAGTTGCATTTGGGAAGTTTCTGTTGCTGTTGATAAATTCTACAAGTTTGATCCTCCTTCATGCTAACTAAAATACTTAGTTAATTAATTAATCACCATTTGAATTTATTTATTTTAAAGTATTTTTGTTTAGTTATTAGATTTTAATTTTAGTAAGAATTTCTGAAGTGTTCCAAAAATCTAGGAAATATTGCAGAAGTAATAAGTCCAAAGTTTTTTGGAGGTTTAATTTTCACTTTGTACAAGTTTTGTAATTTGGGTAGCATTTATATGGAGTATAAATACATGGGTTAAGCTCAGAATTTTATATATCATAATGCATGTACTTAGGCCTAGTTTAGTTCAACTTATTTTTACTTATTTGAGAAAAAATAAGTTCAGATCAGATCATCGTTTTATGTGCAATTTTTTATCGCTAAATATCTTTAATTTCGTGATGGAAAAAATTATGAAAATTACATAATAAATAAAATACACATTATTACGAATCTAACAAGATCCCACTTGATATATTTTTCCCTCACAGATTATCGTACACTTAAGGTCAAAGTTTGGTCAAATAAGATAATAAGATCAAATCAGTTCAGATAAGCAAAAATAAGGTGAACTAAACAGGGCCTTAGTTTCATACTATTCTCTTGTTGATTTTATAAATGTGTTGGACTTTCAAGTGTTTGGTGTGAATGTGTGAGCTAGCCATAACACTTAAGCATGATGAAAAGGATTCCTTCCATGAAGATCTTTATATCTAATTGGGGATTGTTCATCATCAGTTTATTACTAGGTAGATGTATTAAGTACTCTCTCGGTCCACAATTGGTGAGAAACACACACTTATCGACAATCAAATCACTACTATGTTGATTGATTCGCATTTGTTGGTGACTATTTAAGGGTAAAACGCGTAGTATATATGATTATTAACTTGCAATTTTCTTCATGTACAAACATATTTATTTGTACTTGAGTGCTTTGTAATATGCATGTTAATTATAAGCAACATTATTTGAAATTTTGAATACTACATCATTCTATCAATTTTAGTTTGTGAACCAATTATTAAAAAAATATCATTTGAATGTCGATGAAAGAAGGGCAATACTTGTGTTAACGTGTTGTATTATTCGAACTCTAATTTCTTCTAAACCTATATGAGTTACTTTTCATTTTAATGACTACACATAATTTAACTTCATAGTTCAATCCAAAAAAAAAAAAAAAAAAAAAAAGGATATTCAAGATGCTATGTTTTATAGTCAAGTTATATACTTCCTCCGTTTTAATAATATAGCAACAATGAGATTTTTGCACTATTCATCACTCTTGTTTGATCATATAATATGATTTATACGTTAACAAAATATAGTCGTCATGAGGGATCTTAATAGATTCGTCTCATAAAATACTTTCACAATATCAACTTTTTATAATTTTTACTCTTATACGACAATTATAGATATTTAACATATAAAATGTGCTTTGGAATGCGTAATTTCATCCTTGTTGCAATATTATTGGAGTGGAGGAAGTAATATTCTGTTACACTATTTATAATATCGAAATTTTACAGATAATGTTTAAAACTATAAGCGAATAATATTTTTTTAAAACACCTCAATTATCCTAGAAGAAAAAAATACATAGTACATACTCACAATTTAGTATGTATTGAAGTACATATGTATTCTTAGTTGATTTCTTATACACCTAAGACTTAGGGTATGTACCTATATATAAACATTTTTTTTTCTCAATCTATATGTCTTACTCAATTAAAATTCTTCAAATAATGAACAAAACTAATGATTCAAAGTAAATGCAAAATAAACTCGCTCTCACTGAGAAACATCTATTTCGTATATATCTCTTATATAGTCTCTCTTCTAATCGCCTCTAGATATATATCCGAGATCAAGATAGAGACAGTCGTTAATTATGAAGATATATACTTTGTATTATTGTTATGTGAAAATATTATCAACAATTAAACATGCAAGAAATTTAATTTTAATTTCTTACCAAGATTACGATTTATAAATAATTGAATATGATAGGAGATAGAGAGTGGTATGCATCATGCATGAGTCAAAGAAGGTTACGAGTAAAAGGCAATAAGTTGCATGTCAAGTCCACAACAAAGTGAACACCTTTTTGAATTTAAAGTTGCCTTTTTATTTTTCAAAAGCTTTGAGGTTTGACTGGTCAACTCAAGAGATCTTCATGAACTTCGATCTGTAAATATTAATTTATTAAATGGTTTGCTAAAAATTTGCCATGATTAAGATAAGATCGAAGAAAGCTCCAACTCTTGGTTTTGCTTTTCTTCTTTTGTTGGTTTGTCGTCTGTGCATGGCACGTGAAACCCACCATGGGATCTTAATAGTGGACCTATATATTTGACAGGCAGCATATGTTACATGATTATATACAACCTTTTTTTTCTTCTTTTCTTCCAAGAAAAAGGTTAGAGGTTTATAATATATACTTGTATTACGACAAAAATATCGTTTGTTAGATCATATTAGAGTTGATTATAAAGTTTGGTCAAAATCGAGTCAAAAAAAAATAGGATAATAATAAAAGAAATCGAGGTAGTAATAAGAATTTTATGAAAGAGAAATTTCTAAACGAAACTCATATCAAAGTTAATTCCAAGATTATATAAAGGTCAGCCACCAAAATAGAATTTTGCTATTAAATAACTTTGATTTAACAATTTTGATTGAACAAACAACTTTAATTTTACTTATGGCTCAAGATTGATGATTTTATGACAAGATAGAGTAGCGCTAAGCATGGTACACCGTCTATTATGATTTACTACATATCTCTGTTTTTCTGAGTTCTACCCATTTACTATTCACAAGGTCAAAGTTTAAGAATTTTAACCATGTCTAGCTTATTGTGTTAATTCATCTAGTAAATATAATTAAAATAGTAATGGATCATATACTTAGGGATGATGGAGTAACTATTTGGTAGACGGTTGTTAGTTCAATCAAAAATCAATTGAGTGATCATATATATTATCCCTGAGTTGGTTGAAGAACTTATTGGGCAAAACATAGAGGTTGATTTCAAGGATAAACAAAATTTCATTGTACCAATTCTCTAAAGTAATATCGTATCACTCCCAAGCCATTTACATAGTTTGCAACATATATACTAGTACGTGATTTTTTTTATTGATATACAAGAAATTAGAATAGTCTGTATTGCCAATTGTGTATCACTATTACGAGAGTACGAGCCACTACGATCCATTTGTTAGATAGATAAAGATATAATTAAGGTGCCATAATTGTGGTTATAGTCATTGTGGTTGAGCATTTGTCACGAAAAAATTAAGATGCCAAGTGGAAGGCAGGTATATATTACTATTGAGATTGCATTGGTTACGTAAACAGACGACATAACCTAAACATGCATGTCGCACGCAGCAAAATTGGATGGATAAAAGTTAGCAGACGTAGGAGAAAGAATATATTCCACTGACATTATATGATATGATTATGATGTACTCCTATCAATCCTATCATATGCAATTGTAGTTTTGTGAGAACTAATAAGAAGTGATGTATTTGGTATCATCACCTTTATATATTTTGTGGGATAATAGAGGGTGGAAGTTTTTTGTGCACTTCAAAATAAAGGAGGGTCTTAAGACCATCACTAAAATATTCCAAATAACTTGCTTTTGGTTTGTAGTTCTCGATCTCTTCCATATTAAACATTTTATTATTTTTTAATTGAGAAGTTATTGCGTGCGAATGTCCGCATGTAAATTTTCGTGCGACTGGCTTGACTGATATGTTTTAATTGTTGGCTAATATGTTTCATTTGTTGGCTGATATGTTTCATTTGTTGGCTGATATATTTTTTTTTTTAATTTTTGATAGATTTCTTTTATTGACTGAGATCAGACATCATTTGGCTTATATGTTTCTTTAGTTTGCTGATATATTTATTTTGTTGGTTGATATGTACAAATATATTTTAATTGTTGGTTTATATGTTTCATTTTGTTGGCTGATGTGTTTATTTTGTTGGCTTACCTGTTGATTTTGTTTGTTTATTTCATTCTTTTGTTGGCTGATATGTACCTTTTGTTGGATGATATGTTTCATTTGTTGGATGATATGTTCCTTGTGTTGACTGATACGTTTTTATTAATGTCTGATATGTCCGTAATGTTGACTGATATCAGACATCAATTTGCTAATATGTTTATTTTAATGACTGATATGCATCATTTGTTGGCTAATATGCATACAATATATTTTTATTTCTTTCTCTCTCTTCTTTCCCCCTCTTCCTCTCTTTCTTTCTCTCTGTTCCAAGTGAGAATCCATTCTCATTAACAACGAAAAAACATCTTCACGCCACCACAAATCCTCACGCCACCACCATAACCACCGTCGCAACCACAACACACTCCACCAGCCACTTGCAGCCCCTACTCAATCCGCTGCAGTCCCAACTCAATCCGCTACGCATCAGCTCCCTACCTCCTTCACTGTTCCCCTGCTCCAATTCAAGCACCAACCGCAGCTCACCTGCACCGTAACTCCGTCCACCACCAATCACCTCCAAATCCAGCCACCACAACATCAGCCCCTGCAATTTACAATCAACAACAATCAATTAATCCTAATTAATCTCCAATTTACGGCAGCCCTGCTCACGCCCACCACCAAACCGCAACCCCCCTGCTCCTCACCGCAGCAAATTCCGACCACCACCCCTTTACCAATTCGCAAACAATCGAAAATCGTAAATCGCACCCATGCCCATTTCGATTCAATAGTTAAGATTAGAGATGTGATAATCAACCATCGTCCAATTCCCATGATTTTGGGATTCGCATTGGAATGTGGGTAATAATCTTCTGATGAATGCAATTGATGGGTTTAAGGAGATTGAAGAAGAGAGATTTAGGTTTTAGAATGAAAAGAAGGTGAAGAAGAAACGACACCCGCAAATCAAGAGAGAGAGTACACTTCACAAGACTAAAGGAGGTTCTATCCCAAAACGATATGGCAATAAGAGGAGTACCTTTTTAGCCTTATAAAGTTATTAACTTTCTCTT